TTTTAATATTTATTTTTATATTTATAAAATTTAAATTTAAAATTTTAATTAAAATAAATTAAAATTTTTTTTTGTTCAAATCAACAAATGATTGATCCAATCCCTTCAAAGCTGCCGGTGTCTTTTCTTTCACTTTAGTGTCTACGTGTTTAGCTAGCAAAATTTTAATTAAAAAAAATTAAAATTATTTTTTGTTCAAATCAACAAATGATTGATCCAATCCCTTCAAAGCTGCCGGTGTCTTTTCTTTCACTTTAGTGTCTACGTGTTTAGCTAGCAACTTCCTGTCGGCGGCTTTTGAATTTGAAAATTGAAATCATAGAAAGGGATTATCCCCATTTGCTGCCTCATATCAGTGGATGTCAAGCTGTAAAATTACTTTCTCTAATTATGTTCAGGTTTGAGTTTTGATGCTGCACGTTAAGAATTTCCTTGGGCACATCAAGTTAATATGAGGTTATGTATTTAAAATCACTTAGATAAAAGTTAATTTACAAATATGTTAGCCATCTAAACAAAAAAATATATATAATGAATTAAAATTTATTTATATACAAATTATATATAATTTATATATAAAATTTTAATAATTTATCTATTTATTATAAATGTTTTGTTTACATATCACTAAAATAAATGTGGAGCCTCTCAAAGTTGTATATTTTGTCCACTAATAGCTAAAATTTAAATAAATGTGAAATTTTGATAGTCGAGATAACATTATCACTAAATGTAAAAAGTTTCCCAATTTTCATAATAAGAGTTTAAATATATGCTCCCCTCTTTTTCTTACTTTCCCACAAACTTAATTTGTTTGCTTTATAGTATACAAAGAAAAATAACTAAATAATTGACTTATTTTATTTAACCATACCGATTATTAGTAGTAGTATTCAATAAATATTTACTAGAAATTTACCAAAAGAGTTATACTCTGCTTGGTTTAGCTATTCAAAACACCTAATGGCTAATTATAGATATTTAGTAATTGGTACTTGTTTTATATACTATAATTAAACAAAAGAAAATATTCAACACTAATAGATTTTAAGGATCCAACATAAATATTCATTTTCTTTTCCAATTTCTCCATATATATACTTCCAGAAATCCCTCTATACTTTTCTCAATATTTTCTCCATTTTATTGTAAAAAGTTCAATTTTTTGTATTTTGTAACTTCATAGAAAATAAATTAAAAAACAACCGACATGAACTTTGTGCAAATGGTTAAGTCATCTAACAAATTAATGGGTACACTCAAAAAAAATTTTTTATAAATAATAAATATTATTCTTTTATTAATTATTAATTAATAATTATAGTTATTAATCATTTTTAATTTTTAAATTAAATAAAATTAATATTTTAAAAAATTTTAAAAATTTAAGTGGTTCCGAGAATTTATGAGGGTGACCATATATCTTTCCCCGAACTTGGTTGTCAAATTTACACACATGTCAAGGAGATCCACACAAAATATCCCACGTTTAAAACCAGACCAGAAGGCGAGATGCATGCAGCAAATATAAATTTGGTTGCCGAAAGGGACAACGCTTGTCAACATGTCAATGGAGAATCGGCAGCCAGCAAAACGTGGGCCGGCATTGCACGAAGCTGTCGAAGGTGATGTCGATTGCCGAGCCCTGGCAAAACGCACCGACAGCAGTAGCTGATGGTTACTCTGACGCCGTATTGCATTTTGTTTGTTGGATTTTTTTATTAAAGGTATTTTTTT